CCTCAGCAAGCAGAATGGGGTGGGGTCACAACTGGTTTATCAGTCTCATTACCAATCCAGTCTCCCTTCAAGATTCTTACAACAATATCCACCATGAAGTTGTTATCTTTTTTTTTTTTTTGATAAATAACCATCAAGCTGTTAATTTCAGAAGGTATGATCAAGCTATGGTTCAAATCCATTCTAGAAATGTCAAGTTACAAGTTTTGAAGGGTTCAAATGCTAACTATTCTGGTTCACCACACCACTGGACATGCATAATATCTTCAATATTCAGGACTTGCTTGCTTGTCATTGTTCATTTCTTTCTTTCTTTCTTTCTTTCTTTCTGTCTCTTTATTTTGCCGATCAATATGTGGAACTGTGGAAGCAGATGCATAAAAGCAATCAAGTGAGCTTCTTATGCTCCTCATTCAATGAAGATGTGAGAAGCATACTGAAGACAGGATAGAGGGTTGGCTAGTTTTTGCTGGTAAAGGCAACCAAAATTTTGTTTTTTTTTTTTTTTTTGAAGACCATCTACTTTGGGATTTTATGTGGGTTTCAGAAGAAGATTCTTTTCAACCAGACTTAACTGAACATTATCAGACCCTTAGCTTAGTAGCAAGCACCTCAAAGCTAGGGAGAGTTGATGTAGCAAGGACCACAACCTAGAGGTCTATACTTGCAAGCTCAAATCCAAAAAGTATTGAAGTGACACAGGCAAGGCCAACAACATTAAGCCTACATGGTCACCTTAAAGAGCATTCAAGTAAGCTGGTAAGAGTCAAATTGAGGACCAGGGTATAGGAAATGAGACTCTTCACCATTGTTGCTCTTCATCCCCTAATTTTTTTTCCCTTGCTAAACTAGTTGAAACTAAATTATTTATTCAAGTCATGAGGGGTCCATTACTTGGTGTAATGGTAAAACCTCAGTCTGGCAAGCATGAAAACATGGGTTCAAGTATGAGGGCGGCAACTTTGTGCCAAAAAAAAAAATGTCAGAGGTTAGGCTAGTACCCAGTCCCTCCCAAGACCCCAGATAACTGGGACCAACATTGGGTAATGGCCTTTTTTTTTATAAAGTCATAGTTGTCAAGGTGACACCTAGGTGACAAGGCACCTATGAAGGGTTGCCTTGCCCAAGTACCTAGTTGCTTTTGTATAAGCTGTCATATATTTTTATTTTTTGATAAGCAATTATGATATTTTTTATTTTGTGGAATTACAATATTACAATAGGAATTATTTTGATTATCAACAAAAAACATAATATTACAATAGACATCATTACACCAAATTATTCATTTTGTGGCTTTACAATATTTTCATATTTTTTTGAGAAAAGGTAAAGTATAATTTTATTAATCTAACAGTCCTTTGTACAAAGAGAAGCTGTACAAAAACTAAACAAAAGGACCTCAAAACAAGGCCATCCTCAAAAAAGTACAATCAGATGTTTCCTCTTTAAAACCTGTGTATAATATTTTCATAATTCATATACTAGTTTCTTTTTAGTCTTCTTCTTTTCCAAGGATAAAAACAGGGGCTCAGCCATCAGCCCCTATATTTTCTAAGTTTTCTTTTCTTTCTTTATTTTCTTTACATAAACATGTTGATTTACTACATTTTGATATGAAGTTTTATACTTATTTAGCGAAGCTTACTAGTAATTATTAGTAAAAGATGATTGCCGGTTGCTATGAAACCTAAAGAATTACAAACCATTGCCTAGGCAACAAGGTGTTCTCCTCTCACCTAGCTTCACGTTGGCAGTTGGCACCTTGACAACTATGATTCCAGTTGTGAGATCTAAAACCATGTGAATGCTTGATCACCCACCATTCTCAAAATACTGTCTAATATGATTCACAAATCACACATAATGTCCTCAACAAGGCACAGCAAAGCACCAGTACTGAATGTGAATATTTTTTTTTTTTTTAATAATAGTTATGCTATGATATGTTAAAATCACATACAACCACGGAAAAAACATGTTATGGGAATGGAATTACCTAGTTCACAGGTCCCCTTACAGAGGTATTTTATTTGGAGTAAAGTCATATAATATATAAAAAAAGGCCATTACCCAATGTTGGTCCTAGCTATCTTGGATCTTGGAAGGAACGGAGTGGATAATGGAACTAAATTTTTTACACTTCTCCACAAAGTGGCCATTCTCAGACCTGAACCCACTTTTTTGTGCTTGTCAGACTGAGAGTTTACCATTACACCAAGCAATGGCTCCTCCACAGACACACACACACTCCCTGGCTGAACAGGACAAAACAATGGTTAGACAATTTACACACAAATGCACTTTCCTTGGGAGGAAATCCTATTAAGTTGAAAGCATAAGTAGTTGATGTAATTACCCTTAAATTTGTATAGACTAAAGGAAGAAGAATTATTTACTTGGCAGTTGGCAAAAGACTTCCAAAGTTGTATAGACTAAAAGGAAGTAGCCACTGTCAGATTTGAACCCACTTTCTTGTGCTTGTCAGGCTGAGAGTTTACCATTACACCAATGGCCCCTCCACAGACATACACTCACTAGCTGAACAGGTCACAAAAATGGTTAGACAATCTACACACAAATGCACTTACCTTGGGAGGTAATCCTATCATGTTAAAAGTGTAAGTAGTTGTAGCTACCCTTAAAGTTGTATAGACTAAAGGAAGAAATATTATTGACTTGGGAGTTGGCAAGAGACTTCCAAAATTCAAAGAAGACATTGGGTTTACTTTTTTTCTGCAAAAGCACATTCATAGTGATGATCAGGAAGAATGCTTATATCCTTAGTTTGACTATCAAAAGGCAACAAAAGTTGAACTTGACTGGCAAGTTATAAGGGCATATTTAGTTTATTTAATAATAAAAGGATCTGACCGGTCTCAAAGAGGAACTCTAGTTTATTTAATAATATAACATCTGATCTTATGTAGTTTTTTGTTTCGGTAGTATGTACATACTTTGTACAAAGAGGATATTCTTGTTGCTGCTGATAAAAATAACTCCAGAAATAGGGAAATATCTCTTCACACAAAAGATCTTGCCTCTCTTTTGGAGAATTATACTTCTCAATGAACAAGCTAAAATTGTGTCATTAGCTAAGATATTTGGTTCCTTATAAACTTAACCCAGCAATCTAATACGAAGCATATAGGACCATGGTTTGAAGTATCAATACTCTTGATATGCAACTTCTACATATCAAAAGTTCACTTTGACCGAAACTTATGTTTTTTTTTTGGTTTGGTATTTTAATAGAAGACCTGTCACATCACTCATTAAAGCCTCAAACTTGTTTTTTTAGGTAAACAAAGCCTCAAACTTTGTCAACTATAAGAAAAGTTAAAATGTTTATTGGTATCATATACAAATAAATGCATTTAGCATATCTTAAGTCATTTATTAGGATTTCAGAATGACCTTTACCTCCATATAAGTTCTTCTTAGAGAAATACTTGGCCTTTAGGCGCCGAGCATATTCAGCTTCATATGTGTTGCACTTCTCAATATAGTCGTCAGTATCTGTATCCCTGGAAAAGAAAACATTAAGATGGGGAACCAAGTTGAGAAGGTCATCAAATAAGAAGGTGAAACATGGAAATTTTATGTGAACTTGCACTGATTCCAAAATCATAAGCAGGAGTGACACCATCAGAAGAGGAAATTGGAAATTTTATTTCTGTATACAAAATTGAGAACATGAAATCTAGCTCATATACCCAGGCACAGTTGAACCAAATAGTTAACAACCAACAACCTTGAACCCTTATCTGTTAAAATTCTTCACAAAAAAGAGTTTGCTCATTTATTATCCTCGGTTTCTTCTTACACTAACAAAGACTCTAGTTATTAGGCAATTAAATCCATAAAAGTTTGTGATAACAGGAGCTTCATAATGTACATTGACCAATCCCAGCTGTTTGGACTCTGGAAAAGAAACTCTATAGTGGAAAAACAAAACCAAGAACAGTCATATTGTCAAGCAGATGGACTCGCCAGCCCACTACTTCAAACTATTGAATGTATGGTAATGCATATTGAGATAAAAAAGAAAACAGAAAAAAAAAGTCTTCATCTATCCTGTGAATAATGATTGCCCACTATTGAATGTATGGTAATGCATATTGAGATAAAAAAGAAAACAGAAAAAAAAAAGTCTTCATCTATCCTGTGAATAATGATTGCCCAAGTACTGCAACTTGGCTTTCTGGGCATTGAAGGAGCAATCACCATAGCAAATCATTTTTTTTATAAAAGTCATACCAGATATATTAATTCTAAAGATGACGGTTGGCAAATATTCAAATTGTCACACTGAAATCTTGCAATTAATTCAAAATACATTCATTCATAATAATTCCAAACTGATCAAAAACTCTCAAAATCATAAATAGAAAATTTGCATTTAAATGTATTGTAATGAAATACTAGAACATCAAAATTCTTGGGAAGTATCCTTATCAAAGCATTTACAGCCTGTCCATAGAAAATGCAATTGGAAGTTATACGAGCAAGAAAGCTAAATTACCTATCACTAAAAGACAGTCACATTAAATAGGTGTTGTTTCAGAGCTTCAATCCAGTGCCATAACAGAATCAATACCAAAGGAGAGTTGGATCCCCAATGTATTCTGCAATCTGCTCCAGGCGCACATTGAGCAATGCATGAGTATCAGCATCTCGGATGACACCAGTTTCACTCTCCATGTCTCTCTCCACTATGTTTCCAAAGATACCCTTGTGTTTCCACAGAGAACCAGAACTGGACCCCCACGCTTTGGAAGTGCAGTCTCCAAAATTTCCTGATCCACACACACTGGATAGGCTCCCTGCTCTCATCCATGGATATATCACATGCTGTTGGTCCTACAACATCCACGACCTCCCCTTTTTTTCAAATACAGCTTCCCACCTTTGAAATCTTTGCTAATTATTCTAACCCGGATATGACTCAACAACCAAGAAACTTGTGCTCCTGTTTCTTCTTCCCTGCAGCTACTTGATCAAGATGTTGCTCCATTGTCAATTTTCATTTCACCACCTCTTCTTCCCTCTTCTCTCTGTCTCTTATCCTTCCTCCTATAGTCATTACTTCCATCCCTCTTTTCTCTGTCATAACCATGGCTACCTGAAGTAGCTCTTCTCTCATCCCTGCTGCTTTTGTCATCCCTGGATTCTTGAATTTTCAACTCCACCAAGTTCTTCAAGCATTTCTTTTCTTCCACTGAACCCAACTCAGCAACTTCATTAACCTTGGAAGTGACCTCCTCTCTTCCATCCAACAGCTAAAACTATCTTTGACAAGTCAGAACTTGCAGAACCCAATTTCTCCACGACCTTCCCCTTCAAACCCATATGCCTACCACCGACAACCCTAACAACCATACCAACCGATACGCCATCCTTATCCTCCCTAGACGCGATCTTCTCATGCCTATCTGGCCTAGTTGTCACAGTGTGGTCAGGCCCAGAATTACCCCTTCCTGCTTCCTATCATGCATCTCCGGCTTAAACCCAAGTCCTTCCTTGGCAGTTCTCCTCTCATACTGCACGATCTTCACATCTTTCTTGGCGTTTCTTCCAACCCCTCTTCCTTCAATCCATCCATAACCAGCAAGTAAAGCAGCACCAAAACCCTCAACAGGAACAGTAGTGAACTCATCAAACCCCAGATCATCAGGCAGCCTCTTCATATCCTTCTTAACTTTTGCAAAATCAGATTCTCAGAGGATACAGGTCGAGCAGGTGCCTCAACAGCATCATTATCAGCCTTATCCCCAACGCCGTTGTCAACAGCACCGGCGTCACCCTCCTTGTTCAGTCTGAAATTCAGGCCATAAGACATGCCGGAATCAGGAATGCCAACAGTGGAGGGAGCCTCTAGCTCGAAGCGGATGTCAGGGTCGGCGGCAGTGGAATATTGAAACGGGAGATCGAGGTTTTTCATCTTCTTGGTAGGCCTCCATTCGTTCTGCTTTGGAGGGATTATGAGCTTTTCTGATTTGTCAGTTAGGGCTTTTGAAGCGTCAAACTCCGTAACATAGTCGAGCTTGGTGATCCCGGTATCATCTCTCTCGTCTCCGTCGTTGAAATTCTCCGATGGCTTCTGAGTTGGTTTCCCAGATTGCTTTGAAGGTAGAGAGAACGAGAGTTTAGAGAGAGAGAGAATGTGGGGAACGGTGGACTGACAACGATAATATCTCCGTCTGTCGGTCATCACCATAGCAAATCATTGATCATAGACGTGCGGCCACGGCCTGATTAAATCTCTGATGACCTAGGACGACACACACATACTACTTGACAGAAAGTTCCAATTCTATATTTCACCATGAAATCGCTGCTAATATAAATTGCTAATAATCTTCCCTACGTTCCACTATTCAACAATGCACCAAATCACTAACAATGCAAAACCAATCTCAAACAGGATGCCACAACAAAACCTTCAACAGGTCCGACACGAAAAAAAAGAAAAAAAACTATAGGGAACAAAGGAAATTTCTAAAAGAACTTACTGAAATCTCTCCACTACGTCAGGCTTTCTTTCGAGGACACTCATGGTATCGTCGCTCCCACCAGTCCTACGAGAGAGAAGAAGAAGAATAAATGAAAAAGAGGAGAGAGAGAGAGAGAGAGCGTTACCAAATCGTCAAATTCACATGATAACAAGGTGCAATTTTTGCTAAGTAGGTGAAGATGAAACGAAAAGAATTGCACTTGCTTGCAGCCTATGAATTTACGACGGAGAAGTACGAACACACCCAATCATTTCTGTTACCGAATAGTTATAAACATTCAAAACGTCAAAAACCCTTTATTACTCGTGTGGAATCTCATCATTGATTCTACAGCTAAACCATTCAACTAATCGAACGAGATTTGATTCTCATCAACTGATTGATAAGTATCTAAATATCTAATTAGTTTATAGTTAGATGATGTGCTCTCGAAAATTGACTATTTGGATAATAACTGATCAACCCAACTTAAAATTCTTAGCCTCAATGTACAGGAGATAAAATCTGAATGTGGATTGATGCCAAATTCTTAAGCAGGCTTATGGGGGGCTACCAGTAAACTATGAGGGGCTATAATTTCAGAATTTTTCATTGGACTGCAATGTACTTTTCCCACTATTCTATCTTACAAGACTGTTTGGTTAGAAGGAAAAGATAAGAAAATGGGAACTTATAAAAAATGGGTTTTATATTTTATCAAGCTAAATACATCCTAAATAGCATACACAAAAAAAAAAGTTATTTATAATAGATTAATAGCCAAAATCATTATAAATAAATGATCATTCTTCAGACTTGGATAAATAAAGGCTTTATCTATACCAGGAAGTGGTAGGGGTGCAAGTTGGCTATTCAAATTTTATCAAATTTTCAACTCAAGACCGTCCAAGTTGTTTATACAAATGTTACATCTACATCAAATAAAATTGGGTAAATTTCTTAAAACTACATTTATGATTTAGTTAATTGACTAAATATATCCCTACTATTTGAGTATTGTCTAACACTACCCCTACTATTTCGGAAAATTACCATTATCGGCAAAATATTCATCAAAGGGATGAAATGTTTGTTTTGCCCTTAAGTTAAATTGGAATCTTCACTTCTTCATCTTCCTTGGTCTAATCTTTGTTGCCCAAGTCCACTTAGCCCGCCTCCAATGCCAGCATTGTTAGGACCCGATAGACAGAAATCCATGGATCTTCCATTTTAACGCATTAGGAGTAGGACCATTTTACATGGTCAAATGGTTTGGGCTGCTCGATCCAATGATGTTTCTATTTGCGTTTTGAAAACAATAGGAACTAAAATGAAGATAGTAGGAACTAAAACACGGAAGAAAAGCAATATTGAATTCCATGATTCATTATGTAGTAGACGAGAGAATTTATACAAGTATAGAATTTTACAAATTAGGAGAAAAAGAATAGAGCGATAGCTAGCTAATTTACAGAGCATGATTACAGCCTAAATTATAGAAATTTACAGCTAAGATTATGATATATAAGGTAACAGAATATCTTCTAATATTCAAACGATTTCTTCAAGATCCCCCCTCAAGTTGGAGCATGGAGATCTTGAATGCCCAACTTGCGAAGAAGAAAATGAAAACGATCTCGTCCCAAAGCTTTAATTAAGATATCTGCCAGTTGGAATTGAGTTGAAACATATTTTGTAGCAATGATGCCAGATTGTAGGTGTTCACGAATGAAATGGCAGTCGATTTCAATGTGTTTAGTGCGCTCATGGAAGACGGGATTTGCAGCAATGTGTAAGGCCGATGTGATTGTCACAGTGCAAAAGCATTGGTTGAGAATGTGACAGGGAAAGATCAGCAAGTAAACCACGTAACCATATCAGCTCACTAGTTGTAGAAGCCATAGACCGATATTCTGATTCTGTAGAGGAGCGTGAGACTGTGGGTTGTTTCTTGGATTTCCAAGAGATAGGAGCCGCACCAAGGAAAATGTAATACCCTGTAATAGATCGTTGTGTCATCGGACAACTTGCCCAGTTAGCATCACAGTAAGCTTTGATCTGAAAATCACTGTTTGAAGGGAAAAAAAGACCTTGACCAGGAGAACTCTTCAAGTAACGAAGAACATGATAAGTAGCATCAAGATGAGGATGACAAGGTTTTTGCATGAATTGACTGAGAAGTTGTACTGCATAAGTAATATCGGGCCGAGAAACAGTGAGATAAATGAGACATCCAATTAAGCGACGATATTGGCTTGGGTCCTTTAACGGTTCACCACAATCTAAAGACAGTCGATGTTGTTGCGAAATAGGAAAAGAAGCTGGTTTACTACCAGACATTCCTGTTTCTTTCAAGAGGTCAAGAGTGTATTTGCGCTGGCAAAGAGATATCCCTAAAGGAGAACGGGCAAGCTCTAAGCCAAGAAAATACTTAAGAGTACCAAGATCCTTTACAAAGAAACATGTACTGAGATAATTCTTGAGCTTTTGAATCTGCAAAACATCATTCCCGACAATAATCATGTCATCCACATAGACAAGGAGAGCAAGAAAAAAAGTACCTCCAATCAAAGTAAAGAGAGAATGATCATTATGAGATTGTACGAAGCCAAATTTCCTCAACGATAAAGAGAACTTTTCGAACCATTGACGAAGAGCCTACTTTAGCCCATACAAAGTTTTATGAAGCTGACAAACATGAGTATCACTTGGTGAAAGATAACCCGGAGGAGGAGACATATAAACTTCTTCATGTAAATTATCGTGGAGAAAAGCGTTATTCACATCTAATTGATGTAATTCCCATTTTTTTTTGCAGCAGCAACAGCCAACAAACACCTAACAGTAGTTAATTTTGCAACGAGAGCAAATGTTTCGGTATAATCCAAACCTTCAATTTTGTGTATATCCTTGGGCTACCAATCGTGCCTTATAGCGCTCAACAAAACCATCTGACTTGTATTTTACTTTGTATACCCAACAAGAACCAACTGGTTTCTTCCCTAAGGGTAATGGCACTAAGCTCCAAGCACGATTTTTCTCTAGAGCAGAAATTTCCTGTTTCATAGCCTTACACCATTTCGGGTCTTTGACAGCCTGGGAAAAGGATTTAGGTTCACTAACAACAGAAATATTAGCAAGAAAAACTTGATGAGATGGAATAAAACGAGAATAAGACAAATGACATGACATAGGATAAAGAGTACCTGAAGAAACTGCATTGGATGTAGGTTGTGATAGCTTATCTACCCCAGGAAGCTAACACACATAATCATCAAGACGAGAGGGAAGGCAGCGAGTCCTTTGAGGTCGTGATGAGTTAGGAAGAGAATTTTGTGTGGGACTTGATTGTTCGGTCGAGATTTGTGTAGGTGAGTCTTGAGATGATGACGTAACCTCATGGTTAGAGTCAACGGAGGCAGGTGTGGTAATATTATCTTCAAGATCAGTTTGTGGACATTGTATTTGGGAATTGTGACAATGAGGCACAGCAGCTGATGTCTCCAAAGAATCAATAATTGGTAAAGGAACTTCTACATTTGGTTCTTTTGGAGGGTTGTGAGAATGAAAAGGGAATTGATTCTCATAAAAAATGACATCCCGTGATGTAAAGATTTTGTGTGATTCCATGTCATAAACTCTATATCCCTTTTGTCCCATAGGATAACCAATAAAAATACAAGGCTTGGAACGAGGTGCAAACTTATCTTTTGATCGATTTTTATCATGCACATAACACAAACAACCAAAGACACGTAAATGARAGTATAMTGGAGGCTTTGAAAATAACATCTCATAAKGACTCTTDCCAGACAATTTAGGTGTAGGAGTATAATTTATTAGATAGGCTGCAGTCAAAACACATTCACCCCAAAATTTGATTGGTAGGTTTGCTTGGAATCGAAGAGCACGAGCAACCTCTAATAAGTGACGATGCTTACGCTCTACTATTCCATTTTGTTGCGGGGTATCAACACAAGATGTTTGATGTGAAATACCATTAAGAAAAAAAAAAGTTAGACATAGGACCAGCAGTAAATTCTAGACCATTATCACTCCTAACTTGTTTGATACCACGACTAAACTGGGTATTAACCATAGCATGAAATTGAATGAAGTGTTTTTGTGCTTCTGACTTGTGTTTGAGGAGATAAACCCATGTGCATCTTGTGCAATCATCCACAATAGTAAGG